GGATCTAAAAATAGACAGTCTGAAATAGAAGACACTTTTTGCATAACACCAATGATTCCTATTAATTCACACACTGACCTTTCAGGATACTGTAAAAATGTTCCTGTAGTAGGTGAAAGATTGTGTTAAATGTTTCTACTCATCCCACCCTGCCCTGATCCTCCTTACTTCTCTAAGATGATGTTTTAGACACTTAATGATTACTCCTTTATGCCCCTGGTATCTCCTAAGGCTGTAATAATTGTGCATTGGTTTCTTCAATGCAAAGATTAGTGATTCTCTATGTTCAACTCTGTGTTTGTGTCTATAAATAATCTTTATAAATAATACATTTCTTGATTAGAAGTCTCTTAAATGACCTATAACACTAACATCTTTCATTCTAATTTAATGATATTATCAGATTGCAGTAGAACCACATTTAATCCAGACAACCTTATCTTCTGTTTGGCAAAGGAAGAGATATCACAAAGTCTCTTCTAATTGTGCTTATTGTTCAAACATGAATTCTCAAGTTGAATCTAGCTTCACGTCTTGCCATTATGCCTGCAGGTATAGCACTCCGGCAGTATGGGAGATTAATCTCATTAATGACCTAACTAGATAGCAAAGTATTCTTCTATTCACACTATCAATACCTACTCTTTTACCACTCTGTGATTTAGACCCCATTCATTCCACAATATCAGCTAGATTGTAAAGTCTTTATGATCTACAAGCCTCTTCTTTCAAACACCCAACATAAACCCACCCCAGTTTTCTAGCAGAAGACAAAACAAAATCCAAATTAGTAGTCGGCTTCATTTACAGTTTATAGAATTAAGTTGCTTGTTTTGTCTGTGACCCTAGTGTTTGTGACTCTTCTAAGCAAATTTTCTTGATTCATCTCAATAACCTTGAGCATGCGTGTATTCTGTTTTCTGCCTCTGTTGTCTGCAATTAAATTTTGCATTTCACAGCCTTGGCATCATAGGATTTGAGTTTTGGAATGATTTTGAAAATCATCAACATGGTTTAAGTCAACGCTTATGGGGGTTTACATGTCTTAAAGAGAGTAATTTTTGATCTGCTGTGTGTAGAGTAGGCAGAGGGTAGATGGATAGTTGATAGAGAACAAAGTCATTATCAGTACCAAAGTATATTTGCTCTGCCCTCAAACTAGACCCTCACACACAGCAGAACGCAGTACTATTTCCACAGGGGACTGTTTCTTGTTCTCTTGATTGCAACCGTCAAGTCAGAGTGTCCCACCTAGTCACCACTTACCTGGAATTCAAGGACAGAAAATCGCCACTCTCACCTCCCTCAAACCTATTGGCTTTGAGGGAAAGGAGGCCCACTGGAGACCGGTGCCATTAGTGAGGTCTAGATGAAAGACTTCTTAGTTGTGATTTCCCCTGCAGTGGGAAGAGCTCACAAGGTGCTCGAGACGCCATCACAGTGCACTGTCCCCCTCAGCACCAGAGATGGCCGAGCCACAAAACCTCCATGAGAGGAACGTCCTCCTCACAGAACCTCTCTGTCCCTAACCACCTGAGATGAGGAAGAAGATAGGAGATCATCAGGCCACCTCCTGACCCTGAGGCTGAGCTACTGCATCAGCTAAACCTGTCCTAACACTGTGGCTAAATACACCAGCTCTGCCCAGTGGGCATCGATAAGGCCTCCCTAAAGCCATGGAAAGAGAGTTGTTTACCAAGGGTGGCCTTGGAGACCTCTGGGCCCCAGTGTGGAAATTTTAATCACCTGACATGCCCTGCAAGATCTGCCTGGCAGTCCTCACGTCTCACTACTCTCCATTCTCTTCCCAACCAAAGATCTTTTCAGTGTCCTCAGAACACTCCTTCTCTGTCCGTAGCTGGCCTTAGCCTGTGATCCTCCTACCCGAGCCTCTGTTGTGGCTTGAATTACAGGCATGCGCCAGCATGCTTAGCCTTTTCCGTTGAAGTAGAGTCTTGTAAACTTTTATGTTCCCCCAGGCTGGCCTAAAATAGTAATCTCCCCCGAATCTCAGCCTCTGAGTAATTAGAATCATAGGTATAAACCAACACATCAGACTTCTTTTTGAAGTCTTTGTGTATTTTTAGAGATTAGTCAGAGGAATAGCTTGCAAAGACTTTTTTAAATCATTCTGTAGGCTGTCTCCTCATTGCTTCCTTTGCTGTGCAGTTGTTTCTATTTGATGCCACCCTATTTATCAAGTTTTGTTCTTATTCTATGAACTACTAGAGTCCTGTTCACAATTTTGTAAACCCTCTAGGGTCTACCCTATGTTTTCCTTAGTTGTTTCAAAGTTTTAGGTCTTAACGTTAAAATCTTTGCTTCATTTTGAATAGTTTTTTGTACGGGGTCTTTCAGACCTGGATATGTGACTATCCAGTATTCCAAGAATCTTTATTAAAGAAACTGTCTTTTCTCAAAAGCATGTTTTTTGTCACTTTTGTCTAAAATCAGATGACTATGCTTGTGTGGGTTTATTTCTGGGTTCTATTCGTTAGTATAGCTCTGGAGTATAATTTAAAGTCAGGTATTGTAGTACTTCTGTATTGTTATTTTTGCACAGGATTGCTCTGGTTATTTGGATTTTTATGCTTTCACATGAATTTTATGATTAATTTTCTTTTTTGTAAAGAATGACATTAGGTTTTTAATAGGAATCACACTGACTCTAGATTGCTATCTGTCGCGTAGCTATGTTCACAATGGTTGGTCGATTTAAAAACATGGAAGGTCTTCCCATCTTCTGGTGCCTTCTTCAAAATGTTTCTTCGGTGTTTTATCGGTTTCATTGTAGAGGTCTTTCACTTGTGTAAGTAAGGTTATTTTTAGGTACTTTTAAACTTTTGAATTGTGAATGGGATTATTTCCTGATGATCTTTCTTAGTCTGTTGGATTACAAAAAAGTATTTTCTATATTTCTTTTTGTTGATTTTTATAGTGCAATTTTGTGAATGTATTTATTAGATCTAAGAGGTTGGTAGAGTATTTAGGGTGTTTTCGGTATCAGATCGTATCATCCTATTTTATTCCCTTTTATTTCTTTCTCTCACTCTATTTCTCTGGCTAGGAATTCAAGTGTTGTATTGGATGAGTGATGAGAGTGGACCAATCTTGCCTCATTCTTCCCTGCAAAGGCAATGGTTTCAGTTTTTCCCTGTTTAATAGCATTTTGGCTATTCGTTTGTCATAGGTAGCCTTCATTATGTTGAGATATGTTCTATTTATAATTTCTTCAGAGCTTTTGTTACAAAAGGATGTTGAATTCTGTCAAATGCTTTTTTTGAGATTATTATGTGATTCCATCCTTAATTCTGTTTACCTTTATTCTGAATTAGCTTTATTGATTAATGTGTATTGGACCAACCTTCTATAGTTGTCTGAATAAGTCAGATACAGCTAAGGAAAGCTGGGATCGCTCACTGGCAACGGAGTGGCTAAGAGAACTCATGATCTCAGCTGGCCAATTAGCCACTACCATGAATGAGAAGTTGAAAGGGATCCAAGGGATATGTATTCCCACAGAATGCATTCTCAGACAAAGGGACCTGGCAAATGTGAAACAGAAGTAAGGGTTGGCTTTAGGGTTGCACGAAGCATCTCAGCTTCATTCTGTATTTGCTATGTGAACTCAAATGCACTAAAACATACTTCAATAGCGAACAAGCAGGGACTATAACAAAACTCTTCCAGTTATATTGTAAGGCTCATGGAAATTGTTTACATAAAATAATGCAAGATTAGGGGCTGGGAAGGTGTCTCAGTGGTAGAGTGCTTGCCTTGCAAGCATGAGGCCCTGGGTTCGATTCCTCAGCACCACATAAGCAGAAAAAGCTGGAAGTGGTGCTGTGGCTCAAATGGTAGAGCACTAGCCTTGAGTTGAAGAGCTAAGGGACAGTGCCCAGGCCCAGAGTTCAGGCACCATGACTGGCAAAAAAAAAAAAAAAAATGCAAGATTATATAATGATTACTCATCTAATCACTATTAAAGATGAGTTGCTCAAAATGAAACTTACTAAAACTGCAAAAGCTTATTTTCAGGGACATGTGCACTTTGTTAGGAGACTATAATGAATGAAGAGAAATGATAGTGGCAGAATTTGAATAGTCCACCATCTCCTCACTTGGAATTTTCCATGACTTTTCACTGCAGGAACTTTTCTCTCTTAACTGTCTCATTTGTGGTTTTTTTCTTCTTTCATACCTTACTCCTTCATTCTATTTCCATTCTTAGTTTTTTTTCAGTGCTGGGGATTGAACCAAGAGCCTTAGTGTATGCTAGGCAAGAATCCTACCCCTGAGCTACAGGCCCAGCCCCATGTCTTTTCCATTTTTTTTCTTGTATTCTCCATGACGCCAAGCAGCATGTTCAAGACCTTTGTTGTAGCTGGTGAGAGTTTGCTGCCTCCTTTACCCAGTGCTACCCTAATGATTTACCTTTTGTAAAGTAGGCAAACAACAAAATATGTAAAACCACCTGTGCCATGAAGTGCCGCTGACTGTGATCTTATTTTTGCACTCAGTGAAGGCACCAACTGGAAGGATAAAGTGTAACACTAGTCAGAGAACTTAGAAACAGACCCTGAGAGGTGAAGGGATGTGGCCAGCATCACAATTAATTAGAAAGCTCACAGTGAGGTCACTTCCTGTACTTTATCTCCATACGGGAGTTCATTGATGGGAGATAAATTAATTTCAGACCCAGAAACACTTAGGTCCCATCACTACATTCCAAATGTGACCAGATACGCGGCCTTCCCCTCTTCCTAAGTGCTTTCTTCTGTAACATTGTGATGGAAATTAACTGTACAAAGATCTTGGACAGTAAAATACAAAGCATCTCAAGAGATTCCTAACTTTATTTTTGCAAAAAGTAAAGGCATCACAGCCCAGAGGTCTATTGAGGGTTGTTTTCTAGGACCATCAAGGAGCAGGATGTATTTCAGGGTATGAGCAGAATAACAACAACAACAACAACATTGTACTGGCCCTTCTTTGGCCTCCTACTCTGAGTCTCTACCAATCCCCAGCACCTTCCACAGAGCCTCCTTCACATCCTTGTTCCTCAAGGTATAAATCAGAGGATTGAGCATAGGGGTGATTATAGTATAAAAAAGGGCAACAAACTTTCCCTCATTCTCAGAATACTTGTGGATGGGCTGGAGGTAGGTGTAGATGGCTGAGCCAAAAAAGAGAGAAACTACCAGGAGGTGGGACCCACAGGTTCCAAAAGCCTTTCTACGCCCAGCCATTGACTGGACCTTCAGCACTGCCCTAGCAATGTTTGCATAGGAGCCTAGAATCAGAGCTGCAGGAAACACCAAGATTAAGGCTCGAGCCACAAACATCTTGGCTTCTATTTCTCCTGTGTCCCCACAAGCTAATTTCAAGAGCACAGGCATTTCACAGAAGAAGTGATTCAGTCGATGCCCACAAAGAGGCATGGCCATGAGGCCTGTCTGAATCAGAGAGTTTACAAGCCCTCCTACCCAGGAAGCAATAGCCAACACCTGGCAGAGCCGGGGGCTCATAATGGTCATGTAGTGAAGTGGACGACACACAGCGGCATAGCGGTCGAAGGCCATCACCACCAGGAGCACACACTCAGTTCCACCCAGCGTGAGAACAATGAAGAGCTGGGCCACACACCCTCCATAGCTGATGGTCCTGTCCAGTCCATGAAGGTTGATGAGAAGCTGGGGCACAGTGCTGGTGGTGTAGCAGAGATCCAGGAAGGAGAGGTGGGACAGGAAGAAGTACATGGGTGTGCGCAGCCGAAGGTCTACTCGGGAGAGGATGATGATGCTGGTGTTACCAAAGAGAGTTAAGGAATAGAAAGTGGAAATGAAGATAAACAAGAGAAGTTGCAGTTGAGGCCAGTCTGAGAAGCCCACCAAAATAAAGCCATCATCCAAAGTAGTGTTATTTCTTCCCATAGCCTTTTACCTGCACAAATAACAGAAAGCAATTCAATGCCTCCTATGAAGAATGAGAATTAGAACCTTATTTGTATTGTTTCCTAAGTACTCCATGAGGATGGGCTCTAGTTCGTATTTTGTCATTCTATTCTGTTGAGTCTTTTATATTTAATTTTGTTCTTCTCTAGTATTCTGAACTCTGAATTAGGAGTGATAACGGTCTTCCCCTGGTATTTGATTATTGTTTCAAGTGTTTTATGTGATTTTTATATCTTGCAACTGCACTGAATTAATTTATCGTTTACAGATTTATAATGAATAAACAATTATAATTTATAAATGCATAGCTTTTCATATAAATTCATGTTTTTCAATTTTTGCCTTCCAATCTTTAGAATCATCTCTCTCTGTATGTGTATGTATGAGTGCGTAATCATTTAATTTATAAATAGAAATAATTCTACTTCTTCCTTTCTGAATTTGACATTCATTATTCATCTTGAGGACCTAGATATCCACATACAGAAGGATCAAAAGTACCCTTATCTCACGCTATACACAAATGTCAACTCAAAAGTTAATGTTTTGCTTGTAACACCTGGAACTATAAAGTGACTAGTGGGTATTATTCAATTGATTTTTACATTGATCTTGGCAAAGATGTATTTTTCTACATATGACCCCAAAAGCACATGAAAATGATATCTCCATGTAGGTTCATCAGCTACAACAAATGCATCATTGTGGTGAAGGATTTTAATAATCAAGAGGCTATGCATGTGTAGAGCAAAGAATAAATGGTTACTATGATTATTATTCTAAAATTAACATCTACCTTAAAAGCCTAACAATAAACATATACGTATAAGAAAAAGGACAGGAAAAGTTCTAAGATGGCCTTTTGACATATTGCAAAGATGTTTCTGTATTAAATGAAAGATTTTTATTAGATTATTAAATTATTCCACTCAGTCCCGATCACCTTTGCTTTAATAATCTTAACTACATTTTAAAAGGTAATCCCCACTCCTAATTATTTTGACTTTTGCCTTGATTTTCTGCATTACAAAGATCAGTGTGTGTTGTTCTAATCTGTTTTGCATATATGTGTAATCTTTATGATACTCTTTAAAATAATAGTTTATATCATAGTTATATAAGGAGTTACTATATAGTAATATAATGTAACAATAGTATATCATATTATAGTTTATTATAACATCTTTTTTGGTAGTACTGAGCCACACCTCCAGTATTGACTTTTGCTAGTTATTTTTCAGTTGGAATCAAAGAGTGTACCTATGTGCAGTCCACTTATATTAAGCTTCCTGGCAGGTAGAATAACGGGCATGTGCCACCATGTCTAGCTCTTCATTGAGAAAGGGCTTCTCAGAATCTTCAAAATCTTAGCCTTCTAAGTAGCTGGGATAACAGGCATGAGCCACTGGGTGCCTGGATTACATTTCTTGATAATAAATCATCTTCAAATTTGAACAACAGCATGTAGTATGACATCAGCTCAATCGGCTAATTTACTGTATCATCAGGCTACCATACAACCACATTCAAGCCACAGAATTTAATCCATGCAAAGGTATTTAAGCAAAGGAAGGAGTATACACAAATTCTTTCTGGAGTCACCTTCATTGTTCTACCACATAATCTTGTTTGAATGTTTTTACTTCTTCCCATCATGCCTAAATGTGTGTCCCTCTTATTAGAACTTGGGAGACCAGTCTCCCTATTGGAACTAAGTAGACACCAAAGTGTCTTCTACTAATCACCACCATGTGCTCTTTTGCAGGCTCAGTCACACTCCAATGTGAGCCTGATTCCTTTCACAGGAGAAACCACACAATATCCCATAAGTCTTTAGAGTGATCTACAAGACTATAAAATACCCAGTAAAAACCCACCTAAACTTACTAGCAGAAGACCAAAATTCCAATATTGCTTGCAATTAGCTTAGTTGACATTCAAAGGCTGCATTAATGAACTGTTTCACATGTAACTGCATACAGAATGTTGTCTCTGTGTGATATAACTTCTCATCTGATATCTACTACTCAAAAATAAAACAAGAGGAAAAGAAAATCCCTACCTTTTATTTCTTTTTGTAAAAATTGTAAAAATAGTGTGCAAAGGGGTTACAGTTACATGAGTAAGGTAATTAATACATTTCCTACTGAGCATTGTTATCTCTTTTGTTTATCCCCTACCATCCCTTCCCTTCCAGCTCCCCAATCCCTCCCCACCCCCAAGTTGTGAAGTTTGTTTTCAACATAGTGTCTTGTACATCTCATTGAAGGAAAATAACAAAATGCTGAAATAAGGATACAGGCTTACCATTGTAACAATGAGATGTAGAAGACACTATGTTGAAAATGAACCTACCTTTCATTTCTACAGCAATGCCCATGCTTTCATTCTGTGCCTCTTGGCTGTGATATCTATTGTTTATTGTCATTTTAGAGCAGAGCATCATAGAATTTGAGATTTAAAATGGGCTTAATGATTTTAAGTCAACCATCATGGTTTTCATTTAAAAAAAAAAACAAACGTATTTTCTTGGGGCTGGAAAGGTGGCTCAGTGGTAGAGCGCTTGCCTTGCATGCCTGAGGCCCTGGGTTCGATTCCTCAGCACCACATAAGCAAAACGAAAAAAGCCGGAAATGGTGCTGTGGCTCAAGTGGTAGAGCGCTAGCCTTGAGCTGAAGAGCTGAGGGACAGCGCCCAGGCCCAGAGTTCAGGCCCCATGACCGGACCCAAAAAACAAAAAACAAAAAAAACATGTATTTTCTTAAGTGTTTGCAATTGGGGAGGAAGGTGTGCAGGCATGAATGATTTTTGGCATGGTGTGTTCAAGCAGGTAGAGAGTGAATAGAAAATAGAGAATAAAAAAATTCTTATTGGATGACAAAACAAGATTTTGGGTGAACTTGACATGTATTTCTCTGTCCTCAAACTGGGGGCCCCTACAACGGAGTCTAGGACTAATCACCAAGCAGAATATTTCTTGTGTCCTGGAATTTAACTGTGGCTCACCCAGGTGGCACTCACCTGGAGTTCAAAGAAAGAAAAACTGATGGTTTTACTTCTTGATTCTACTGGCTTCAAGGTCGACATGAAGCCTATTGCAGACTGGTGGCATTTAGGGATTCTCTTCAGTTGTGATTTGTCAAGGCTAAGATCAGGGGTCTCTGTCCTTGAGAGGTCAGGAGGGCATATTGTTCCACTGCTTTAACAGCAGAGAAGGCTGCACCTCAACCCTCCATGAGAGGAGCATCCTCATAGAACCCCTGTATCCCTAACCATCTGAGATCAGAAAGAAGCTGATGTATCAGGCTGAGTTGCAATTATCAAACTATTTCCTGACCCTAATATTACGTACACCAATTCTACCCTGGGAGCTTTGGAAAGGCTTCCCTTAAGCAGTAGAAGGAGAATTGTTTACCAAGTATGACCTTGGAGACTTCCCAGTACTAATATGGCAATTATAATAAACTTCTGGGCTCTCCAACATCTACTTGAAATCCTCTCCTCTCTCTATTCCCCATGCTCTTCCCAAACAGTAGTGATCTCTTCAGTGTCCTCAGAACAGACCTCCTTACTTGGCAATACACCTCTACAGCTTGGGGTTTCTCCTACTTCCCTATTTCACACCATCATCTGAGCCCTTCATCAGTCAGACAAAATTACATGTCTTACTTGAAGCCTACATATTCATTACACCCTAAATATCTTCCTTCAGTGCTGAATCACATTTAACGGAGTTTACAGTTTCACCCAACCATCCCTCTCCTCCTTTTGCACTTTATCTCCCTATATACTGGGCATTGGAATGTGCAACACTAAGAGGCACATTGGAGGGAAAGCCTAGAAACCGAGGAAGCAACTTTTTGAAGGCCTTACCTGGGTTCATAGGCCTTCTCTGTACCAGCTTCTAATCATGGCCGTGCTGCTTCTTTGAAGTCTTTGTAAAGTGCCCTCACTACCCCCCACAGTTACTTACAATTTTAAACTTGTCCACACCTTCATGAACTCATCCTTCTAACCATACCAATTAAGATTTGTGTAAGCTTTCATGTATCTGTATTTTTTCTTATCTTTGGAATCACAAGAAACTTTAAATTTCATCTTCCACATATCATATTGAGGCCACAGTCTGCATTTTAAAAATCAACCTTATGGCAATGTAACATATATAGATACAATGTAAACATGTAGTGTGTGATTCTCTGAGTTTGTATAGTTATGCTATGAAGAAAGATCCCACAGAGCAAAAAACTTACCATCTTCATTTTTTTAATCCATATTCAAAAGACTGAACCTGTCTCTCATCTTGTTCTAATATCAATTCAAAATGGATATAAGACCTGAAACCTTAAAACTACTATGGGGAAGAATAGGGAAAACATTAGAACCTACTGGAATAGGCAGGAGCATTCTGAACAGAACTCCAAAGACCCAGAAAATAGGGGAAAGAATTGACAAATTGGATTGTATCAAGCTAAAAAGTTTCTGCACAGCAAACGGTTTAGTCACTAAACACATTCATTTTCTTCCTGAATTATCTACTTGTGTATTTGTTTTCATTTTATTGGTATTTTTCTAAAAGATTTGTAGGAATTTGGTTGTGTACACTGCAGATACTTCATCTCTAAAATCATTAAAGTCATTTTTTACTTAATTATAAAATATATTATGTATTATTGTATGTGGGAAGTTAATACCAATCTATTCCATTACCATTTGAATTTTAACAAGGAAAATATATGGGAGGGAATATAGTAGATGGTTAATGATACAGGGGATCAAAAAGAGAAGAGGAATGAGTTTTGATTTTTTTATAGCACAATTAGTTTAGATGGTTGAAAACGTTCAATTGAATACTTCCAAATCGCTAGTAAAGAGAATTTTGAGTGTTCACAACCTAAAGAAATGATAGATTTTTGAGGTGATGGATGGATCAGTTGTCTAGATTAGATCATTGCATGTTATGTACCATTTATTGAAAT